ATTTTGTCAAAAATTCTTAGTAGCATTGTGTTTGAATTTGTATTTTTAAGTAACATCTGTGACAAATTGGAGCATGTGCCTGTAGTTGCTTATCTACTGTCCTACTTCCTGCCATCTTCCTACCTAAGTGAGCAGGTTTCTTGGTCACCTGCTGCCCCAGCCCTGGTGCCCCCTGCACACTCAGCATGTGCTCACCTAGCAATGAGACCCTGGATGTGAGGAGGGCCAAGGATGGGTACACTGGAGTTGCAGGGCAGAGCCCCTGTGTACCCACAAGGGTCTGTCCTCATGTTGTTAGTGTCCTCATGCCTGAGGGAGCAATTTATTAAGTGTCAAACAATAATGCCATGACAGCTCTAGGGAGAGATCATGCATGTGTTTGTTTGTTCTTCCCCTGCCTTTGGAGGAAGGAACCCCACCTTTTCATATTGCACTGAATTCCAAAAATTCTACATAGCTGGACCCGAATCCTTCACCATCATTCCTATATCTGCTTAATTTCAGCTCCTCAAGTACATTCTCTAGTCACTCTAATGTAGGGGTCACAGATTTTTACTTTAAAAGAATTTGAAGGTATAATAGTTTAGGCTTTGTCATTTTTATGGTCTTTGTGGCAACTACTCACCTCTGATGTTGTAGCAGGAAAACAGCCATGGACAATGCATAAATGTATGGGCATGGCTATGGCTCAATAAAAAACTCATTTATGGACAGAAAAATTGGTTTTCATACAGTTTTCATATGTCAATAATATAATTCTTCCATGGACTTTTCCCCATCTATTTAAAATGTGAAAGCCTTTTTCAGTTCATAGGCTTTACAAAAATAGTCGGTTGCTAGATTTGGACCAGGAATTGTAGTTTTCTGACTCCTGTTAATATGTATGGTTGCAAGTCCTACGGAAAAAAGGAGACATAAGTGCTGGACTAGTTTTAGAGAGGAGAAATTACAATAAACACAATTCCTTTTACACATTCAAACATAGCAAATTCCATTTATAATTTCAGTGACTTTGTGAAAATGCCTTCATATACTTAATGGCTCTGCAGAATTCCATTTGAGTAGTTAAAAAATTAGAATGTATAAAAATCAAAATGAAGTAAATGTTTTAGGCCCATCCTCTTTTATCTGCAGTTCTAATATCCTTACCATCTCTTTAATCTTTTTTCCCACTACTGTTATTTTAGTCCTCCAGAGATGACTCTTAACTTCTGCCTCTGTCCTTTGTGTTTTGACGCACCATCTGCTTTTCTCGCGATTTGAATACATGAACCTTCCTTCTGATTTAACTACTTATGTAATCTTGAGTAAAGCATTTGGCCTCTCTCAGTCATTGCATTCTACACTAGTTTGGGTAATTCATGCTAGCTGCCACAACAGACAAACACAGAATCTCAATGGCCTAACATAAGTGGTTTTACTTTAATTTCTCATAAAGCCCAATGGGTTACATGTCCTTCCTTCAACTTACAGCTACATCATATGGACAGTTGTAGAAGAATAAAAAATCTCTTTTGTACTAAACGGTTAATTGTTCACAATTGATCATGTGGCCCAACCAAAATGCAAATAAGGCTGTGAAATAAAAGGGAGACTACAGTGCTAGTTGTTTTGAGCACTAAAATGATATGTAAAGTGATTCCTTAGAATAAGAGTTACCAAATGTTTGTTCTAAAGAGCCAGACAGTAAGTATTTTAAGTATTATGAATAATTTGGCCTCTCTGTCACAACTTCTTAATTCTGCCAATGTAGTGTGAGAGCAGCCATAGACAAAAAGTAAATTAATGGAAAATGGGCAGAGTTATGATCAAATAAATTTTATATTCAGAAATAGGAGGAATTTCAGATTTGGACCACAAGCCATAGTGTGTGAACCCTTACCTTAGAGCATGACTCATGTACAGGATTCTAATTTTTCATCACCTAAGATACTCAGCGAGCTTTGGGCATTACTTTCTCCTAATATTCCTTACACTGGCTAATGAAAACCAATAGACAGTTCTAAAGATGCAAAGAAGAATGAAGTCAAATGATCACTGCTCAGTGGTCTGGCTTTGGACTTTCTTTTAGCCTTCTTTTCTTCCTTTTTCCAGATCGTTCCTTTGAAATGGTCAGAACAAGATCATTTGCAGAACAAGATCATAGCATTCTGCTCAAAGACAGGGACATATGTGGACTTGCATTAACATGTACTGAGCAATCTAAACTGGGTCTCTATAGCATACAAACATACATCTCATGTAGCATAGTGGTGTGTACATCGAGAGATCTGCCACCCTAGAGCTCTTACTTAGAATCAACCTTCACACCTAATCAGATGCCAAGTCCTAGAATTAACGTCATTAACCATCTCCTAAAAACATCTGCTATCTTCACCCTAATTCTACTGCTTTTCTAAAGGACTTTATAATATCTTGTCTTGGATTCTATAACATCTTCTTAAATAGTTTCACTTCCTCGGGTCCAACCCAGATCAATCCATTCTCTATGAGTTTATAATATACTAATCCGATTATGAAATATGCTTGCTTGGAAATCATTCAGTGGTTCTTTAAAATATTTAGGCTAAAGGAAAAACTCCTTAACATGGCATTTAGAACCCTTTATGATTTGACCTCTGCAACTTCCAATATTTCACATCTTGAACTCACCACTACTTTTGCATGCTTTTCACTATAGCCATACTGAACTATTTGCTTTTTTGGTTTGTACTTTCCTTCTTCCCATCCTTTTTCATCTGCTTACCAGTTTTGAAGATCCAACTCAGCTATGAATTGAGTAACTTCTCCATAGAAGCCTTTTCTGATTCCCTCCCTAAAGCAGAGGCCCACCTTTTGGTTTCCTTATATTCTATGCTTTCACATATTGTAGTTCTTATCAATGACTACATATACTGTACACTCTACTGAAGCATAATTGCTTGCCTCTTCCCTCATGCACCATTTTTCCTCCCATCTCAAGCTTATAAACTGAGAGAATAGGAGAAATCTTTGGTTTTTATTCCAATTGCAGTGTTTACCATGCATGGGAATCTGCAATTTAATATACATTCAGAAAATATTAATAGAAAGAGTTAACACAACAAAAAAAAAACAAGTTGTTTGTCTTCATGATCACATAATTAATTGTTTTTAATGCAATTATAACTATGAGTATTTGTCGTTCAAAATCATGTATTTAGGAAACATTTAGAAGGAAGGAGATTGTATATATCAGTTGGCTTGACTTTTATAAAACTTATGGGTGAAACATTATAGAAAAGTAGTCCATTGTCTATATATAAAATGATACAAAAACACAATAAAATACAAGAAAATAAAACCTAGAATAATGGACATGCCTATATTTCTATTAGAACTAGTATCATAGCTTGTGCCTCTTTAATTGCTGTTTTACAGCGTAGTGCGAAGAACATTGAATGGGAATTTGAGATTCAGTAGCCTCAAGAAAGACATTTCATGAGAAACGAAACCTGACATTAAACTCTGATCTTATATACTTCAAAAGTAACTGTCTTGTGTGGGTACTAATTTGAATTCTATTACTGAGTTGATGTGTCATAATAATAAATGAGTTGCACTCTCTTGTATAAAAATATTTATGCCTTGTAACATCCTTCATAAATATGTTGCAATGATAAAAGAATGAAGCATTTTTGATCATTTTAAATCTTATACTAAAAGCTGTAATATGCAGATATTTTCTATATAATTATTTTACATTACAGAATAAATGATATCAACTTGGAAAACTGTAGAATATAGAGTAAATGAGTATCTTGTAGGGTGAACTGTAAGAGACAGTGTATGAGTATCTTTTAGGAAATAATCTATAGAATGCAGTGATTAAATAAATAAATATTTAAGGGTAAAGAAAACATTAGTGAATCAAAAGTTTATTTGGGGGGGGGGCTGGGGTTGTGGCTTGGGGGTAGCACACTTGCCTAGCATGTGTGAGGCACTGGCTTCAATTCTCAGCACCACATATAAATAAATAAAATAAAGGTCCATTGACAACTAAAAAATTATTTTTATAAAAGTTTATTTTGCTTTAAGTAAAATGAAGTACAATAACCTTTATTTTATGAAGCATACATTTAGTCTCATAAGAAACATTCAGTATTTCAGTAATACACATGAAGAAAATAAAAGTAAAACTTGGATTGATTCTTGGGAAATGGATGTACATCTGAGAGCCAAAAAGACTGCATTTTTTCCAAAGAACAATGTTAAAAGCTCAGATAGGCCTGGAAAAAAGTGAATGTAATTGAAACTGTTGGAAAAAAACTGCTGCTATAGGGAATAATCCATTACTAACAAAGAGTATAGATTATATCTGCTATTGCTCCATGATTTTAACTTTTATGTTTAAATTGACTTTTCTTGCTATTTGGGGATTAATTAAAATTCTTTAAAAAGAAAATCAAAGTTCACTACAAATACCAAGCAGATTCTTAGATCCTAGAAAATGTCCCATATAACTTTACTTAATTCTGGTGATTAAATTCCAGCATATGGTTCTTGGGGACGATATCTAATTCCAACAATTCCTTGGACTATATAAGAATGAAAAAAGGAAAGTGCCTTAATTATACTTCAATGTTGTAAGGGTCCTTTTATTATTAGATTCTATGTCCTCAGGGTCTAACAAATGCCAGATGTTTAATAAATATTAGTTGAATGAAAGGTGACTTAAAGTTGTGACTTTCAAAATTGATCATTAAAAGAAATGCTGTGTAGTATATTTTTTACCATCTTCTTGGAAAATCAATTAAACTCTAAATTATTATATCAACTGTACCATATTTTTCATTAAACAAACTTTTCATTATATAATTCATAAAGTGATTGTTTAGTATCTTTGTAAAGTATAATCATACTTTAGGCAGAGAACTCAAATAATTTAAATGAAAAAAAATTATCACTTAGATTAAATTGTTGAGAAGGTTGAGCTAACAATGAATGTAATCATGTTAATATTTTTGTCATGCTTATTTTAGCCTAAACAACGAACATCTATTGTGTCTTCTCTGGATTTTCATCGAATGAACCACAACCAAGAATATTTTGAAATCAGCACATCAACAGGGTGTACAGGCTTTACTACCAGCCCTCCTGTTAGCCCACCCACCTCTTCTGTGGGAACTACAGAAGCCAAGAATGAGGAAACTGACCATACAGGTGAAGTAATTCACTTTTTGCAGCTATATTTTTTGAACTTTTAAGATTAAATGCTTTATGAATTATAGGAATTAAGAGAAGTTTTCCTACAAATTGTATTGTGCTTTTGGCTCACATACACGTGTGGCAATGTAGGGCTTTATGATTTTTGTCAGAGTGTGGGTATAATATTATTTTTAATATGTTAATGGTCTTTCAAGTATTAAACATTAAAGATGATAACTTTAATGTTGGTACATTACATGGTAGCTAAAGACCTACAAATGTTCTTCTTCCACTGCTATTTACCCCTCTACACACAGGAGTTTCAAATAATTAACATATGACTTTGTTGATAGCTGCTATGAGGCTAGAACCTTTAATAAGGATATCTGGCAAGACTGAGTTGGACAACGTGGACAAGGGTGGATTTTCTACCTGCATAAGCCAAGATATACTTGGAGAGGAGGGGCATGGGGGTAAGGGGAAGATTATGGAAAGTAACAACATCCACTAATAAAACATACCTGGGTAAATCCAATCAGATTTGCAATATTTCCTTGCTTTGGGGACAAAGGAACTAATAACTAAATGGTAAGGTCAAGGGACAGAATATGAGAAATGGGAGCCAAAGAAGTTCTTCCCTTTCTGTTTAATTTACAGTAGGTACACTATTCAGTTACTTTCCTTCAAAAAGATATGATTTTTAAATCCAGTAGATGTGATTAATATGGATTTAGTATCATAAAGTCTGGTCAGTATTTGCTTTCTGTGTAATATTTGTTCAAAATTTGTTTGTATTTAAGTCCTTTGATCTAACTCTACTTTTTAAAGCACTAATGCAAATATTCAAAAAATTTAACCAAAGAATTGTTTAACCCGAGGAAAAAAGCCAAGATTTTAAAAGTAATGACTAGTGGAAATGGTAAAATTGATATTACATGGAAATTATCATCCAATATTTCATGGCAGCCGGAATCATATTTATAAAATGTAAATCAAATGCATGATTACCATGCTTAAAATGTGCCAAAGGCTTCCCACTCAATTAGAATAAAATCCATCTTCTTACCATGGCCATAAAGCCCAATTTAATCTGGATCCCAACTAGTTCCTTTAACTTTGCCTTTGGCAAAATCAAGGCCCATACTGGCCTTCATTGCTGGACAACTGGCTCTGGGCTTTTGCACTTTGGTTCCTTCTATCTGCAGTCTCTATCTTTAAATTTTCATGTGTCTGAGTGTAATTTATGTTTTGGCTTGAATGTATGTCCATATAGAGGCCTTTCCAGACTACCCTATCTCAAGTAGAAGCTACCAGTATGATGATAATTGTAATATCAAAGAAGCAAAAAGAATAACAATAATAGTAAGTACTTCAGTGTCAGGCAGTATTTTAGGTACTTTATTTATATCAACTCATTGAATTCTCATGACTGTTATATGAATTAGGGATTATTATCTGCAAATAAGGAAATACAATAAAGGCCAAGCTGAGTGTTAAACCTGGTGTAAGAGCTCATGTTCTCAACCATTTTTCTGTCACTTTTATGAAATATTCCTGTCTTATTTCTTCAATAGCCTTATTTGTTATATAAAATAATATCAATTACCTTTTTACTTATATATTGTCTTCTGTAGTCTTTCTAGAATGCAAGCTTGAATATATGGGTCTCTGGCACATCATAGGCATTGAAGTCAGACTACCTCTCTGATTAGTAATAATGAGACTGAACCTCTTGCCCATCTATGAAACTTGACCTTTTTATGTTCCAGTTTTCTTATCTATAGAATTACATTAACAATGAATTAATTAGACTAACACTGGAATGTGATATGCATGTAAAGTGATTAGCATAGTATCTGACATAGTTAATGCTCAAAAAATAGTAATAACTATTAGTAGTAGTAGCAGCAATTGTGATATTACCATAATTCTTTCTAGTTTACATCAAGCCTATTCATTCAAGGAGTTTATTATTTATCTGCTATGTGCCAAATGCAGTTTTATAATAGAGGAGAAGTGGGATGTGATTTGTAAAGAAAAATGGTATATGGACCCTGGAAAGGGTCCTGAGTTATATAATTATTATTCATTCATTACTTATTTGAATGCCTAGTTCCAGATTTAAAATTCTAAAGTGGGAGGGATGAAAAGTATTTTGATACTTGCCTTTAGGAAATCTTTCTTGGCTTTACTTCAGTTGGAACACTATGTTTTTTGAATGGTTAAGTTTTTAATTTTTTTCAGCAATTCTTTCAGGTAGATAGAAATATTATTTATTTTTTCTTCTTTTTTTAACTAAAAGCAAGAAAAGTTAGCGGTCTAGTGTCAAAGGCCTGATGCCTTTCTGTACTCTAACATTGATCACCAGAGAGAAGGTATAAACACACATTTTACTGCTACTGGGACTTCAGTGGCACCATGCACAATGTGTGGAAAATTGTCATCAGGTCTGACTTTTTTAAACAGAACCAAAATCTAACCTTTTAGCAGTTGAAATAGTTTCCAATAGCATATTACTATGGTTCTCTAATGTTGTATGTCATTTTCACATTTCATAAAAAATTTTAGAATAGACCAATATTTAGTAATAATGTGGAAGGACCGGGCTTATTTGTTTTATATGTTAAAAAAGTAAAACTTTAAATTGTAAAAGTAAAATTTTTAAGCTACACATTTATCTTCTTGAAAAAGTAGCATTTTATTATCTTGCAGAGAGATAATTGGTTATACTTTGTACTTAAGAACCTTCACGGAAGACATTGCACATGGTACATAGAGAAAGAGAATGAATTTGAGTCCATTCTAATACTGATTTCCTCAGTATTTTACATCAAATACCGTAACTTTTCTCATCTTCAATTTGCTCTTCTGAAAAGGGGAAATAATATCCATTTCTTTGGGTATTTGTAGTCACAAATAAATTCACTATGTGAATGCACTTTGTAAACAATCAAAGCTAATATTCTTTAATATTATCCTTATTGTTTAATGTTTTACTTTTACTTTTCTTTACTATTATTATTTCAAATATATAATAATTTTAAGATAAAAGAGCTCTCTGTAAGCCTACACTTCTTATTTTTGGGGACTGAACTTTTCTTGACTTAAACATATAATTATATTAACTGATACACCTGCAGTTCATTTTATAAGTGATAGTTTTTTTGCAGAAAATAAATTAATCTAAAAAATGGCATTTAATAGAACAAAGATTAATAAACCTTCAAAAGTGAATTGGAGTCTACAAAACACTAAGTGAACCAATGAATTTATTATAACAGGTCATTTTAAAAAGGATCCAAAATTGTGATTAAAGCTTCAAGATATCTGTCATCGAAAAAAAAGGTTGTTAAAGAGGAAAAGCTTTGGTATTATAGGCTGGGGAATGATATAAAAAGGCTTGCATTTAACTACAAAGATTTGTATTAATTATTAGTAAGTAGATTGAAATGAAAAAATAATGTCACCAGCAATGGAAAGATGTACATGGTTTCGAGAGATGCTAGGAAAGGATAAATTGATAGGTAGAGGTGTTTGACTGAGTGTACTCGGGTGAGGAGAAGAGTTGAAAGAAGGTTCTAAAGTTCCCAGCTTAAGTAGATGAGCCAGATCTGCATGCTATTCTTTGAAATGAGGAATATTTGTAGGTAAGAACGTGGGGATAGATAATGTAAGTAAGACCCAATAGGCCATTGAAGGACTTTGGCTTCCACTTGGAATGAAATGAGGGTCCAATTCAGGTCTTCCAGAAGAAGAATCACATGATCTATTTCTATTTTATGAGGATTCCTCTGGCTGTTTTGTAGAGAATGGACTGGGAAGAGGAATAGGGTAGAAGCAGAAAGGCCAGTCAGGAGGCAACAACAACTTAGCAGTAAGACAATGAGGAGGGCAGCCAAGCTCAAAGATGAAGCTGTGGAGGCAGAGAGAAATAGGGATGTTGGAAATATTTTTAAGGTTGGTACAATAAGAGTTTATGGAGGAGTAGATGTGATACATGTGAAAAAAGAGAATTAAGGATCCATTCAAGATTTTTGTCCTGAATAACTATAAGAATTGACTTCTTAACATATGACATACAAGAAAGTATGGGAAGAGCAGATTAGCAAATAGGAAAAAAAATACTAGGAGTTCATTTTAAGTTCCAGATGTCTATTAGATATTTGAATTCATGTGATCCTTTTGAATGACTAGCAAGCCCATCTGATAAGAGATTTTAGTTGCCAATGCATTCTTTTTATCCTCAGGTAATAGTTATTAATTGTTTAAATAGAGGTGGTAAGAAGTACTGGAAATCTAGATCTATTTTAAAGGTAGAGCCTCCTTTTTTTTTAGGTTTGGATGTAAGATATGAGAAAATAAAAGGTACCAATATGTGATTCAAGAATTTAGGACCCTTTTGAATCACTGGAAGGATGGAGTTGATATTAATTAAGATGGGGAAGTCAGTTTTGTATATTTCAGTTTGAAACACTATTGGACATAAAGTAGTAATGTTGAGTAGATCGTTGAGAATGATTTTTACATGGTGGAAGGAGACCACATGATAATTTTAAGTTCATCAAAAGTAGAAGGTATCAGTTTGAAAAGATTGAGAAACAGAAGCTTAGTCTATAAAGAGTAACTTAGGAGTTCTGAGTTCCTCAGTGAAAATCTCCTGGAAAAGCGTACTATGAATTCCTGGGTAAAAGAAGATGAGAATAATAAGTTGTAATAAATGTTCCCTCTTTATGGAAAGATCTCAAAATCTCTGAAAAATTTTGTGACTTAGCACCTTCTGATCATACCTGCTAAGCAAGCCAACCACCCTAGCTAACTAATTATTTTCATTTTTGTTAGTATTTTCAATCCATCCACCTCCTGCTGGAGAAAACTGATGGGAGAGGAAATATTTTTTAAAAATAAAGTGGAAAAGTGCCTTTTTCCAAGTGGAAAAAAAATAAAAGCCTTTAAGTACTCAGCAGAAGAGGATTCTTTTCTGCAAAGGAGAAGAAACACTAGAGGGGAAATAAAAT